TTTAGTATCAATAAACCCCATTTTTGACGAGCTTTCATTTGATATAAAATTCATTATGTCTTCTATTCGTAATCATAGCATTACCCCCCTGGAATAATAGTTTTACCCACCTAGTATATCTCCCATGCAATATGAAAAAGATGATTTATATCAATAATGAGAATAGGACATAGTACCAATATTAGTAAAAGAGTTTTTTCTAATATACAATTTAGTTGTTGTTTTTCTTATTCGTTTGAAACATACTGGTCTTTGTTATCAGAGGTTTTCGAAAATTCTTCGTATTTTTTCTTATTTTGGTTTTTACTATATCTGAATGAATTACATACGTAAATGGAAATATGTGAGACGTCATTTTTGTGATGTGAGAAGAATCCCAAACTGACTGGAAAATATAAGTAGTTCCATATTCTATGTGCGATTTGAGCATAACTAATGAACTGATATAGCCTGAACATATTCTAGTTATTATCTATTCAATGAAAACTAATTCACTCTTGGTACTAATATTTGGTTTATTTAGCACCAGCGTCTGATGCTCAAACTAGAATTTGGCTTGATGAACAAATTCGTTTCAATCCCGATCAACCATTTGTGGCGATCTATAATCGGCCCTTCCTTTATCGCCTCTACCACGGTCACACTTTATCGATACCACAACTTAAACAAGCTCTTCAACTAATTGTCAGAAAACATGAATCACTTCGAACATCACTCTTCTTCGACACAAAAAATAATCAACTCATGCAACGAATTATTAACTCCAACGAGAATAACAATAGGTTGTTTGAATTTGTTGAAAGCACTTTCGAAACTGATGAACAACTCGATCTCATTATGTATGATGAGAAACGAAATTTTCAATTGTTCAATCTTGCTAAAGGCCTTGTCTTTCGATGTCATATTCTTCATCACACACCAATTTCTTCAATTGATCTTCTTTGCGACAAAGATGCAATTATTTTCAATTTTCACCATGCTGCATTCGATTTCCCATCAGTGAATGTGTTTCTTCATGATCTTAATCAGGCTTATAGTACAAACCAACTCACAACAGACGATAGCTCTCTTCTGCGTTATATTGATTGTAAGTAGGAATATTTCTTATCTTTAATTCGAATCACTCCTTCTCTATTCTTATTTAGATGCTGCCATCGAACAACACATGCCAATGACTGCTGCGAATATGTTTTGGTTAGATGCTCTTCACGATTGTAAAATCGATCATTCATTATCCTTACCATTTGATCGATATCGACTTTCTGATGAACATCGAACTGGTCGTGGAGTATTTATCTCTTTCGATTTTGGTGTAAATCTTTCACATAATTTTCTTTCTTATTCATTATCGAACGACATAACAGTTGAACAATTGGCACTTGCTAGTTATTATGCATTCTTGTTCAAATTGACTAATGGAGAAAGTGATTTATGTATTGGAATGAATATACATGGTAGATATAAGGGAGAATTGATGTCAGTGATTGGAATGTTCGTCAATGCTATTCCTTTGCGATGTCAACTAGATGCTCATTGGTCTTTTCATCAACTAGTCGAAGATGTTCGAGACATTGCAAGAAATAGTTTGAAGTATTCTTATTTTCCTCTTCAGCGAATTCTAGCTCAACATCCATATGCTACAAAACCTGCATTTCTTGAGACATTATTCGAATTTCGATCATATACTTCTAAAAATCGTAAGAATAAAGTGATGATTGGTAATGCCCAGCTTATTGCTGCACCCTTTACAATCAAGATTGGTGAAGATGAAATAATGAGTAAATTCGATTTCATTCTTACTATTCAACATGATTTGGATACCAATCAACTATCATACACAATCAATGCATCACTTGACTTGTTTGATAGAAAAACAGTTGATATAATTGCACAACGGTTTCACTCAATGTTAGAACAATTGTTTGACACAGAAGATGCTCCGACTAACAAACCTATCTATGAATTGCCATTAATATTAGCTGATGAAAAGTTACTTATGAAATCAATGAATAATACACAAGTATTATCTCCGTCTGTCACTTGTATACATCATAGATTTGTTCATCAAGTGATGAAATATTCACAAAAATTAGCTGTCGAGTTGGATGATCAATCTCTTACATATTGTGAACTTTTATATTATAGTCAAGTATTATCTTGGAATTTTTTGAATGAACAAAGAGTGAATGTAGGGGAGATTGTTTGTCAATGTGTAGAGAGAAGTTTATCAATGGTAAGTTGATCGAAAAACTAATACTTCCACAAAACTAAGCATTGTTATTTACTAGGTGATTGGTATGATGGCAATTGAGATGGCTGGTGGTGTTTATTGTCCATTATCACCTCGAGATCCACAACATCGGCTGCATGGACTCGTAGAACAAACTCACAGTCGTCTTGTTCTTGTTCATCATCTGACAAAAAATAAATTTAATGATAGTATTATTTCACTTGACATCGATTCAGTATTGATTGACACTAATGTGTCGAATTATGCTGATGTCGGTCGGCTGTTGAGCGTTGTAATTACGCAAGAGAATATAGCCTACACCATCTTCACAAGTGGTTCAACTGGAACACCGAAAGCGGTTTGTTGAGGATTAGGTTCAAATATCTCTGATTGTTTTTTTTTCTATTCTTCCAGGTTCAAGTGCGGCACAGGAATTTTACTGAATGCATGCATTCTTTAATTTATATTGATGCGTTTAACAAAAACGACACAGTTGTACAAATGGCACGATGTTCATTTGATATTCACGTTGAAGATATAATGGGTACGTTGATGGTTGGTGCGACAATAGTGATGCTTCATCCAAGAGGAATTATTGATTTTGAATATCTCTGCACAGTGCTTGAAAAGAAGCAAATCACATATATAAACAGTGTGCCGAATATGTTTCGCAGTTTTTTTACTTTTTTCCAAGGGTATAAAGCGCTGAAGGCTGTAAAATACCTCAGATCAATTGTTTGTGGCGGTAAGTAGACTTTAAATAGATTTTTAATATATATTTCGAGATCTACTTTCTTTAGGTGAAGCTTTTCCTGTAAAATTAGTGAACCTACTCCGAAGTATGGTAACGCCGACTTGTCAAATATGGAATTTATATGGACCAGCTGAGACAACTATTGATTGTACATTCCATCTTGTACAAGTAGCAGCCGATCAAGAGAGGATTGCTATCGGTGTACGCCTTCCTAATTATAGATGCATGATTCTAGATGAATTCTCAGAATCAGTTCTTATTGACCAAGAGGGAGAACTCTTAGTGGGAGGTATAGGTGTCTTTGCCGGCTATCTTGGACGTGATGATTTGACAACAAGAGCACGTATTGTAATAGATAGTGAAATATTTTATCGAACAGGCGATCTTGTTCGAATGGATAGCAACGGTCTTCTTCATTATCAAGGAAGAAAAGATTATCAAATTAAGTTGCATGGACAACGTATTGAACTTGGAGAAATCGAACAATGTTTACTTAATACATTAATTTCCGCTTGTGTTGTCATCAAATGGGATGATGACCATTTGATTGCTTATGTTCAAAGTTCTAATATGGATGAAGAACAATTACGTAAACATTGTCAATCTCATCTTCCACCTCATATGATTCCATCATTATTTATTGTACTTGATAAATTACCTTTGAATGTAAATGGAAAAATAGATCGAAAACTTCTTCCTTCTCCTTCTTCTTATTTCTCTCATTCTCTACAACTGAATCATACGAATAACTTACAAGTGGAAAAACCTCATAATGAAATTGAAATTACACTTCACACTGTTTGGTGTGATATGCTTCAACAGAAACAAATTTCAATCGATACAAATATCTTTACAATTGGTGGTCATTCTCTTGTACTTATGCAACTTTATCATCGATATCAAACAACATTTCATTTAGAAACAAAACATCTCTCAATTAATGATCTATTTCAATATCCAACAATTATTGATCATGCTCAATTTATTCGTCAAGCTCTCAATATTGAAAAACATTTTGAAGTTTGTTGGTCTTCTCTACATCTCATTCAAGGTAGATAAAAACTTTCTCAACATTTCAGTTTTGATTCTCTGTTGGTTTTCACACATTTTAGCTCCAGCATCATTTGCTCAAGAAAGAATAGTTCTTGATGAACAAATTCGTTTTTCATCCAAAAGTAACAATGGAATATATACTATTCCATTACTTTATCGTGTAGCATCTGTAAATAGTCATATATCAACTACTCGATTACATCATGCATTACAATTTGTAATTATGAAACATAGCATTCTCCGCACAGCACTTCATATCGATAGTAATGGTATTATAATGCAACATTGTTTGAATATGAATATCAATAATAATAATATTAAACCATATGGATTTTCAATAATTAATCTTCATGATGATAAAGATCGCAACATTAATAAAACAATAACTGAGATAATGAATAACTCTGATATGTTTGACTTAACAAAAGGATGTGTTATTCATTGTCATATTCTTCGTCAATATCATTCGGATGATAATCTTTCATTTAAGAATGATGATCTATTGATTAAAGATGATTTAATATTATTTAACATTCATCATTCAGCATTTGATGGAGCTTCTACATCGATTTTTCTTCGTGATTTTTCTCTTGCTTATGCGACTGGTTGTTCATTGCCTTTGGATGATAATGCACTGCAATACATTGATTATTCTATTTATGAACATCAAATGGATATGACATTATCACGTGACTTTTGGCAATCACAACTTAGAGGATGCAATCTCGAATGTCAACTGTCTTTGCCAATTGACCGACGACGTTCATTGACTGATCAACGATCTGGTTTTGCTTCGATAGCTAAAATCTCTTTCGATGATCAGATTTCCATAGCATTTCTAAATTATGCATCTGCACATAAAATGACACCATTTCAACTAGGACTGGCTACATTTTATGCATTTTTATTCAAATTAACTTATGGTCAAAGTGACCTCTGTATTACTTGTCTCAATGCCAATCGATATCAAAGTGAATTACAAAATATGATTGGAATGTTTGTTGCAACATTACCTTATCGTATTCAACTTGATTCTCGTTGGTCATTCGATGAACTTGTCAAACATGTACGAGATAGATGTTTGTCAATTCTCGAACATTCTCATTATCCATTACAATATATTCTTGCTGATTCTCATCTTAATCAATCGAATATTCCTTTTCTGGAGACAGTGTTTAACTTTATCACAGTTTCTTCTGATATCGATCACTTATTTTTGAATGATGCGAATTTAGAACAGGTTTCATTAGATGCATCATGTGAAATGACTAAATTTGATTTTATGTTGACATTTATTTACAATCCAACATTGAATGATGGAAGTTTTTCATGTCATTTCATCTGCTCGCATGATTTATATGATCAGTCGACGGTTGAGAAGATAGCACAAAGATTTCAACATCTCTTCTTCCAACTTTTCTCTTCAAAGTCTAGTGCTTCACAGATTGATTCATCTTCTATACTTATCAAGAAATTGTCGCTTATTTTACCAGAAGAAGATGAAGAAATACGAGGGACAGTCTTTCACAGATTACCAAATATTGTCAAGGAAGGTATGTTTACCTACTATTCTTTTTTATTTTTAGGATGAAGCATAGTTAGCAGTAGTTTTGAAAATATGAATTTGCTCACTTGTGGTATAGTAGGATGCTTTGATTTTTTTCAATGATGAAGGAAAACTCAAAGCTTTTGCTCATAAAGACAATGTTGAAAAATACAGCTTGGACTCAACAGTATGGGGTTCAAGAAAGAGTTCTAACTTTCGCGTATTTCAAACAATCTCATGCGACATATTTTCTTTATTTAGTTTCTGAGAGTGAAATCTCATTCATTCGTGATTAGGTATCTATTGTATAATAGACCAATTTGGTTTGAAGCATATAGCAATACTCCTAGCGTGATTCACTCTACATAAAGCAATAAATATTGGATTCTAGGATTTCCATGTTTTTATATAAATACGTCAGAAATCCTCGAAAAGGATAAAAACCTTTCTTGAAGCTAATGTTGTCTGTTCTTACTTGCATTTATTAACGTTGCTTTTACGATAAGAACCTTTGAAAAGTCTTCTATCATTGATTCAAAAAGTCAATCTACATGGTTTATAGACTAGAGATTCTCGAATGTTTATTCCTGTTGCTGGTTTTTACCAGTGCTGTATAACAGTCATATCTGTATAGAATATTTTGAGAATGTCAGACAATTGAACACGATGTGGTAATTGAAATATTATTTTGTCATTTGTCTTATTTTCTCTACTTATGTGTCAAAGTGAATAATGCTGATTGAATCGGAACTGGAATAAGTATCGTGTCGACATCGAACTTTTACGACTACTTAGTTGATTCTTATGTCTACGCGTTCGCATCGTTTATTTGCAGGAAGTAGACTTGTTTGCACAAGACAATGAAAATAAAAGAAATAATACAACGGAAAAAAAAACAAAAGTCTTATATACGCATTGAAACTATCAAGAAAAGTAACTGACCTTGAGCTCTTATCATAAAATTTTCGAGTCTTACCTAGCACTATTTAATAGATTCACAAGTGCATAATTCTATTTTTAAACATAGCATATATCCCATCGAATATGAAAAAGATGATTTATATGAAAAATGAGAATAGGACATGATACTAATATTAGTAAAAGAATTTTTCCTGATATGTAAATTAGTTTTTTTCTTATTCGTTTGAAACATAGTAGTCTTTACTATTAGAAGTTTTCAAAAACTCGTTACATTTTTCCTTATTATTTTTTACTATATGTGAATGGAAATATGTAAGAAGTCATTTTTTGTGATGTGAGAAGAATCCCGAACTAACTGCAAAATATAAGCAATTCCATAATCTACACGTATTTTGAGTGTAACAAATGAACTGATGTAGTTTGAACATGTTCTAGTTATTGTCTAGTCAATGAAAATTAATTCACGCTGTGTAGTAATATTTGGTTTATTTAGCACCAGCTTCTGATGCTCAAGCTCGCATTTGGCTTCACGAACGAATTCATTTCAATCCAGACAAATCACTGACGGCAATCTACAATATGCCTTTCCTTTATCGTCTTTGTCCGGGACATACTTTATCACTGCATCAACTTAGACCTGCTCTTCAGCAAATTGTCGGAAAACATGAATCACTTCGAACATCACTCTTCTTCGATACAGAAAAATATCAACTCATGCAACGAATCATTGATTACAATGATAATAACAATAGATTGTTTGAATTTATTGAAAGTACTTTTGAAACTGATCAAGAACTCGATCTCATTATGCATGAGGAGAAGCGAAACTCTCAACTGTTTAATCTTGGTCAAGGTCATGTCTTTCGATGCCATATTCTTCATCGGATACTAATCTCTTCAAATGATGCTCTTTGTGATAAAGATGCAATTATTTTTAACTTTCACCATGCTTTGTTCGATTTTCCATCAATGAATGTATTTCTTCATGATCTCAATCAAGCTTACAGTACAGGTCAGCTAACAATTAATGACAGTTCTCTTCTACGTTATCTTGATTGTGAGTAGAAATATTTCTTGTCTTATATTCTAATCACTCTTTCTCTGCTCTTATCTAGATGCTGCTATTGAACAAGAAATGCCAATGACTGCTGCGAGTATCTTTTGGCATGAAACTCTTTATGATTGTAATCTAGATCAATCTTTACAGTTACCATTTGATCGGTATCGTCTTTCTGATGAACATCGAAGTGGTCGTGGAATATCTGTCTCTTTTAATTTTGGAGAAGATCTATCGCGAGCTTTCCTCACTTATTCATCATCGAACGGCATAACACCTGAACAATTGCTACTTGCTAGTTATTTTGCATTCTTGTTCAAATTGACTAATGGAGAAAGTGATTTATGTATTGGAATGAACACAGATGGAAGATATAAAGAAGAATTGATGTCAGTGATTGGAATGTTTGTCAATGCTATTCCTTTGCGATGTCAATTAGATCCTCCTTGGTCTTTTCATCAGCTAGTTGAGCATGTTAAAGAGATAATTACAAATAGTTTAAAGTATTCTTATTTTCCTCTTCAACGAATTCTCGCTCAACATCCAAATGCTACAAAACCTACATTTCTTGAGACATCATTTGAATTTCATTCATTTAAAAGTAAAAGTGATAAGAATGAAATGATGATTGGAAATGCTCGACTTGTTGCTGTGCCGATTTCAATAAATATTGGAGAAGATGAAATAATGAGCAAGTTTGATTTCATCCTTAGTATTCAATATGATTTGGATATTGATCAACTCTCATGCACAATCAATGCATCACTCGATTTGTTCGATAGAATAACTGTGAATAAGATAGTTCAACGGTTTCATTCAATGTTAGAACAACTATTTAACGTAACAGATATTCAGATGAAGGAGCCAATTTATGAATTATCATTGATATTACCAAATGAAAAATTCCTTATGAAATCAATGAATAATACACAAGTATTATTTCCTTCTGTCACTTGTATACATCATGAATTTGTTCATCAAGTGATGAAATACCCGCAAAAACTGGCAGTCGAACTGGATGATCAATCTCTCACATATTCTGAACTTCTATATTATGTTCAAGTATTATCTTTGAATCTTTTGAATGAACAACAAGTGATTGTAGGTGATATTATTTGTCAATGTGTAGAGAGAAGTTTATTAATGGTAAGTTAATCTAAGAAATATATATCTCCCACAAAATTGAGCATTACTAATTACTAGGTGATTGGTATGATGGCAATAGAAATGATTGGTGCTGTGTATTGTCCATTATCACCTCGAGATCCAGAACATCGTCTGCATCTGCTTGTAGAACAAACTCGAAGCCAACTTGTTTTTATCCATCATCTAACAAAAAAGAAATTTAATGATAGTATTATTTCACTTGACATTGATTCAATGTTAATTGACAATGATATGGAAAGCGATGTTGATGTCAATCGACTATCAAATGTTACAGTAATATCAGAAGATATTGCTTACATTATATTCACAAGTGGTTCTACTGGAACACCGAAAACAGTTAGTTAATGATAACATGATCAATTGAAAATGATATGACTATTGCATTTTTTGTAGGCACGTATCCGACATCGAAACTTCAATGAATGCATGCGTTCTTTGATTTATATTGATACATTCAACGAGAAGGATACAATTGTACAGATGGCGCGTTGTTCATTCGATACTCATGTGCAAGATATAATAGGTTCATTGACGGTTGGTGCAACAATAGTGATGCTTCATCCAGGAGGACTTATTGATTTCGAATATCTCTCTACAGTGCTTAGAAATAAACAAATTACATATATTCAAAGTGTACCCAGTATTTTTCACGATTCTTTGACTTTTTTCCAAACGTATAACGCTCGTGAGGCTGTAAAATACCTCAGATCAGTATGTTGCGGTGGTGAGCAGATTTTAAATAACTATTTACAATGCACTTTGAGGTCAACTTTCTTTAGGTGAAATTTTTCCTGTAAAATTAGTCAAATTAATTCGAAAAATGGTAACACGGACTTGCCGAATATGGAATTTATATGGGCCAGCTGAAACAACTATTGATTGTGCATTTCACCTTGTTGACATTAGTGCTGATACACAGAGCGTTCCAATCGGACGTGCATTACCTCGTTATCGATGCTTGATTTTGGATGATTTCCTGCAAGCGGTTGTTATCTCTCAGGAAGGTGCATTATATGTCGGAGGTGTTGGTGTCTTTGCTGGTTATCTGGAACGTGAAGAGTTGACTACAAGAGCACTTATTGTAATAGATGATGAAATATTCTATAGAACGGGTGATCTTGTTCGAATGGATAAAAATGGTTTCCTTCATTATCAAGGAAGAAAAGATCATCAAATTAAGTTGCATGGACAGCGGATTGAACTTGGAGAAATCGAACAATGTTTACTTAATACATTGATCTCTGCTTGCGTTGTCATCAAATGGGATGATGATCACTTGGTTTCTTATGTTCAAAGCACTAACATTGATGTAGAAGAACTGCGTAAACATTGTCAATCTCATCTTCCACCTCATATGATACCATCGATATTTGTCGTCTTGGAGAAACTTCCTATAAATGCAAATGGAAAAATAGATCGAAAACTTCTTCCAGCACCTCAATTTTCGTTGTTGACGAATATTGATCAAACTGATGTAATTCCATTGACACCACTGGAGGAACATCTACAACGCATATTTAGTGAGGCATTTCACAATGAATCACCAAACGTAAATATGCCGTTTGGACAGTTGGGTGGTACATCACTCGATGTTATACGAGCACTCATGCTCATTCAACAAGAAATATGTACAAAGGTTGATGTTGGCCTCTTATTCGCCAACCCATCGATCCGACAGCTTGCACGAGTCATTGAACCATTACTTGTCACATATGCTGATTCTTCTGTTACAACTTCTGCTTTACAATTGCTTCAAGAAAATCAAGATCGATCAATGCCATAATAAATCTTTTATAAGCAACACTATCAGAATGAAATCAACAATTGATTTCTATTTTATTTGAATACTTTTAATCTTCATCATAATACGATAGAGTATATGATAATTATGAAAATTTTGTCTTTATTTTGGATTTTCGGTCTTTTTTGCACGACCATCTTCAGAACGATAATAATAAATATATAAAGAATAAATTCATTTGGACCTGTACCACAACCGATAGCACCAACACCAACACCAACAATAACACTAACACAACCTAAATCACCAACACCGGCATTAACATTAATTGTATCTCTAAATAGAGAAAATTATAACACCCTGTTAACAGTTGCTTTGAAAATACATACAAATGATAAGCAAAGCATGAATTTTGATAAACATAATAAATCTTTGTTGAGCAACACTATATAGATCGTGTTATGATAAAAATTAAAAAAATTTCAAATAAAATAGAAATCAATTGTTGATTTCATTCTGATAGTGTTGCTCATAAAAGATTTATTATGTTTATCAAAATCCATGTTTTCTGATCAATGCCATCTTTGTGCATTGAAGTATTAGCATTATGTTACTAATATTAGGGGTGGTACTTTACTTTTACTTTATAAAATAAAGATAAATGAACATTTATTTTTAAAAAATAAAGTTAAATAAATAAAGGAATACTTTATTTTTAAAAAATAAAGTTAAATAAATAAAGGAATACTTTATTTTTAAAAAATAAATGTAAATCAATCATTTATTTTTAAAAAATAAAAGGAAAATAAAGGAATAAATGATACTTTTTACGATGACAGATAATGTAATTGTAAGAGTACTAGAATCATGATATTAAATCTACAGAGAAATTATTACGATTTAAAAGTGTAAATTTGATGTAAAATACATTTCCTAAGATGAAATTCAAAAATAACAGAAATGAAAGCTTTATTTCTGATTTTTAGGGTACTAAGAAAGAGGAAAAGTTTCTTGTAACATTCTAATGTAATCTAAAGCTTTCTATGTATTCAGACATCTTTGTGAAGCTTCATTTCAGAACCATAGAATGTCTCCATCGGATCGATTATCACTCAATCTTCATATTTCTAAATAGAATTCCTTCCTAATTTTGAATCTCACTTCTAATTATCCACAACCTTGCCCAATATACTCTGTATTTTGCTATCTTCCGCAAAAAAGTTGGTCAATAGAAGTTGTAGAACGATTATTTGCAAATAAGTATTAAATAGATGGTTTTATTTTCGCGACCAGCAATTCTTTTTCCAGGTACTGGAAAACATCCTAATGACACACACACAGACATAAGAAAGACACAAAATAAGGAAATTAAAACAAAAAACAGAAAATAACACACACACATAAGCTGTAATGAACGTAGTTTTTTGTATGATTTAATTCCAAGTGTATCTACATATAAAAAAGCTTCTTTTGGCAGGCACTATTTGCCATTGATATATTTATTCTCTATAGTATATCGCAATGCAAATTTAACATGATAATTTAGATAGAAGGTAGACTAGTTTAATAATAGCAAAAAGTTACTTTTTACTTCCAAAAATTTTCATACAAACTTCAAATTCAAATACAGTTCTCTAAAACTATTTAGAAAAAAGCTGAATCTATATTCACGAATCAAAGAAAAGTCAAGGTACATTGTGGAAATTGAATCGTTTCCAAAGAGCAACTATCTACAGAGCAACTTGTTTACTTTACAGTAGGTAGGGGACGATGCATATGTTAATTCTCTATTTCTGTATTCAGTTGAAGATTTTTTATGAAAGAAAGTATTAGATCATTGGGAGAAGCTCACGAAAGATAATTTTTAAAGAATGTCAATTCTATCAGTATGATCTGATTGATTGAAGACTTTAATTAAGAAAAGAAACTCTTCAGTGAAATACAGATATAAGCAGTTGACCTGTGCATCCTTTCCTACCTACTGAAAAACAGGCAAGTTGGTCAGTATAAAACTGATCTATGAAAACGATTCGATTGTCGAATCTTAATTTGTGGGTGTGAGTAAATAGTAAACAATCACACCCACACCCACACCCTTTTTACAAGCACACCCACACTCATCCTATCACCATATACCCTCAAAATCACATCAAGTTGGGGATGGTGATAGAAGAGAGAATATTTTAAGCAAAATTCGGTGAATATAGATGTAAAATTTACAAAGTTCTCTCTATGACGAACATCACGTTTTCAATACTATTTCAAATTTTTTTATCTCTTGTTATTGCACAACTAAACTGCAAGTTTTAGTTCTTTCTATTTTATATATAAACGCCTTGCAATAATATCAACAAAATAAAAACGAATGTCCTCATCAAATCAACGCTTGTTCCAATTAGCACATGGTAATAGACATCCAGAAAATCGTTTTGATTATATCATAAAACATTATTTTCTACGTGCCCCAACACTTCACCAAGCACATGTCTACGTTACACTCTATGGCTATCGAATATCATCAGAATTTTATGAAGATGGTGATGAAGTAGACGATGTTGTACATCCATCATATGTGATAGAACATGAACAAAATCGCAAAGTCGAAGAATATGAACAGATGAATGAAGAATGTTCATATGGTGAACATTATTGGCATTCGATTAAGGAAATTGATA